ATATTATAATTATATTATGTTTATTTTTATTTAATTATAAGTAAGTATAAAAATAAAAAAACTAAATAAGACTGAAAAGAGTATTCATTTTAATTACTACGATTTTGTCTTGTAATTTGGTACAAAAATTAATAATTATTAACTAATCATTCTTCTTATAATTTGCCTTAAGGCACTCAATAATAAAACTGTAATACTAACAAATACTTCCTCCATTTCAAAGTAATTATCTTTTTTAAAAAAATTGAGGACAATAAATGCATTCATCTATATTATCTTTAAAAAATGATAAAAATAAATAAAAAAATTTTGGTAATAAAATAAATAATTAAAGTTGGAATATAAAAATATGATTGAAGTAGTAAAATTATTTGTCCCACTTAAAAATTTAAAAGTAACTATTAGTTTATGATATATTTTGAATAAAAAAATCATAATTATTGTTAGAGTAAAAGAATATATTTCTCAATCTGCGAGCAAGCATCATCAAAATATGATAATTGTTGTGAGATAGAGAAGTAAATAGTAGTACTAATAAGCCTTTAATTGAATAGTGCACATCACTGATCCTGAGGTTTGACTAGGTGCGGGTCAGACACATAAATGGCAAAACTTATTCGGTGGCAATATGAAGCACCAATGGACCATATTTTGTCGTTCTTAACTTTTAATGATAATTCTCATTTGCACCAAAAAAAAAAAATAGTAATAATAAATACAAGAAGTGATTCAACAAAACTAACGACTTATTGATTTGAGTGAAAAGAGTTCGATTTCTCTTAAATAAGATGTCAAATTCAAATTTTATGAATAAAAAAACAAGTGTTGGGAGAGCTTCCTCCCATATGGAATCCGATCCGATTTGATTTCGGATTAATTAAAGTCTAATATGATTTTTAAATACCGAAAGGTTAGTATTAAAAAAGAAAGAGTGATTCAACAAATAAAATGAATGTAAGTTTTAATATAAACTAATTAAACATAGATGGCTCAAAGTGAAAATATGAAAATGGTCCTTTAATGTTGTTGTCAAATTGTTGTTGTCAAATTGGAATAAATAATAGGCAAAATCACAGATTCAAATTCCAGCCTTACATTAGGTTATCTGGTTATGTGGTGATAAAACATATACAAGAAGCATGGTCTGAAATACTTTATGTCGAACTAATTCAACTCCAATTTTTCCTCTTTCATTTGCAAAATAGAAATAAGTCAAAGTTTCCCACCAACTTTTTG